TCACTAAAAAAATAACAATGAAGAAATTAGCAGTAATTACTCTGAAAAAAGGAAGCAAACTTATGAGTAATATTGAAGAGGCAAAACTACTAAATAAAGCTAATATGCCACAGAGAAAAAGACAGTTAAAAGAAAATACTTTTGCATCCTTTTAAAATGTCAAGGTGATAAGGAAAGTAAAAAATACTTCATTCAAAGGCATCGTTTTAATGCCTCATCAATTAAAGACGGCATTTCTTCTGTCCGTCGCATTGATATCCGCTGCTTTCATATCTAATGATTGCAAGCAAATTATCTTAAAAGGTATGCCAACTATTCCCTAATTGTGTCATTTTCCTTTATATGTCTTGAGTTTCAAAAACACTATCTGAAAAGTAGCACATGTATATCCTCTGTGATTTCAGAAATCTTCCCACTTTTTGATCCTTTGTCAGCAGGCAGCATTTCAGGAGTCTGAGCATCCTAAACATTCCTGTGTCACATATTTCTTCTGTCTTTATTTTTTGTGTCATGATAAATCAGATCATGAAATAAATTTTTGTTGTATGTCAGATAAATATAGCCTGTGTAAATACAATAAAGTCTGTTTCATACTGTGATTTTATACATTAAGGGAAAAAAGCTTTGCAAAACAATCTAGTTATATGGAACAAAGTTAATTGTTCCTTTTGGAGCTCAAATGCATTTAAATATGGATAGTTACTAATACCTCTCCAAAATGTGTCTTTTTTTTTGTTCTTATTTGCCACTCATAGGTGGACTTGCTGGAGTGTATGAACTCTGTACTGATCATAAGTTTATGATCAGAATAGAGTTAACATCAAAATTACAAGAAGCAAAGGATAGATAGGAAGACATCATTCTATGTTATTCCATATAATATAAGAGTTTCATTCTCTGAGATGACTGACAAAAAATATTGCACTTACATCCAATATTCCAATTTTTTTAGCTGTACTAATATGTACAGCAGGTCTGACTGCCTGAAGGGAAATGAGTGAGCAGATATTAGAGTTTGGGTCAGGAGGCCTCACAAGTGTGAATGGGCAAGTGGGAAAGAATTACAAGGAAGAAGAAGAAAAACAAATGAATATTCCTTAACATGACGCTTTAAAGTCAGATCAGTGTTTGTGAAAACAACAATTTCAAAATGAAGAGTGTATATATCAGTCCACCGATAAGCACAACAGCTCAGGAGGCGTAAGCCGAAAATAATAGTATCTAGGGAAATCCCACTTTGCTGTTGTAAACCCACCAGTGTGTGGAAGAAGATGGAGGCGTGTTGTGGAATATCTGTTTCAGGAAAGTTGTGATCCGAGTCGTTGTGCTGCTGACTGATCGGATGGGTCTGTACTCATCAGATCGGTGTTGTCTCACTGTGTGGATGCTGCCCGTTTTGCCTTTTTCATCCAGTGCCATCCATCAGAGAAAGATTACATTATTATGCTATCTCTGCATGGGTCACAGTCTGCTCACTCTTTTCAGATTCAAATAACTATAATGCAAGAAATAAATATTGGCGTCTCATTTTATATAAAAAAATGTATACTTGTGACTCAGTCTGCACATTCATTTTATGAAGTATTTCAGAGAAATTTGCATTGCTTTAGTTTAAAAACATCCTAATTTATGATAATAATATATTTTATTTAGAAGGGTTTTTTCTAACATTCAAGATCATTTTGCAAAGAAAGTACAAAATAAAAAAAAAGCATAGACTTTCTGTGGCATAAGGAAACTGATGTCCTTATGCCACACAATACAGATGTACTGTTTCAGGAAAGTTGTGACATCTATACCACAGACGACATCTATACCACAGACGACAAACAAACTCTTTGAAATCTATATGTCAGGAAAGATTTACAGTTCTTGGCTTTTGGACTCCAGAAAACCACAGTAAAGCCGTTATCCACAAATGGAGAAAACAGGAGTGGTCTGTCCACCCAAATTGCTCTTATTTATCTGTGACTCATCCAGGGTTCTCAAAAGAACCCAAAACAACTTCTAAAGCAATACAGGCCTCATTTACACCAAATAAGTTCAGTGTTCACGATTAAATAATAAGAGAAAAATTGGGAAAAATGTCTTTTATGAGAGAGGTCCAAGGTGAAACCATATCAAGTTATGCCTCTTATAATCAAATAATCAATTTGTTTAGAACACAGAACATCATACTAATAGTCAACCGTGGCACTGGTACTGTATGGGTCTGAGGTGTCTTTTCTTTTCAGGACATAGGAAATTCACCATTATTGATAGAAATGTGATTTATGTTTGTTATGAAGAAAACCTAAAGAAAATATCTAGCTGTCAGTTTGTAACACTAAAGTCAAACACACTTTGTTTAAGCAGCAGGAAAATGATCCAAAACACACAACTTAGGGTACCTCAACATGGTTAAAAGTAACAAAAAAAAAAACAAGACACAAGTTTTTGTTTGGCATAGTCAAAATCCTTAAGTTAAGTCAGGCTGTTGCATGAGCTTCACCCTCCTGCGGTCTTAGTGCTACGCTCTAGAAGAGTATCACAGTAGGACAGCATGGGGTTGTCCTGTCAGTTTCCAAAACCACACACATAAAAAAAATATTGTAAAAGTGAATGACAGACCACACACAGAGTAAAAATGTTGTGGGGTATAAATGAGCCCATCTCTTAAGACTCCCTGGGTGGGTTAAACCTGAAGGTTCACGGCAAAAACCCCTGGACCGAAACTTTCTTGCAAAGATTTTAAAGAGTCACTGTCAGTTACCGCATGACCAATTAAGAAGTTAAGATTGAACAGCTTTTTCCCCCCCTTTAAATACTCCTCTGATAAACCACATTTTTAAATAATAAACTACAGAAACATCAAAAAAGCATCACAAAGCACAAAAGCAGGACAAATTTGATAATATCATTGATTAATTTCACTGTATGCCATGCAGACTCTCTCTCTGCACAGATAAAGATATGCTTACCTCAGTTTAAAGAACAAACTGTGATATGTGGCTTTATTTAAAACATACATGAAATCACTCAGGTGGTCAGTTTCTGTGGTTGATGTAAACTTCTGTTTGGATTGTTTTACACTTTAAAACTCCATGATTGTGGCAAAACCCATTGTAAAAAGAAAGTTCCTAATTTTTTCATTGGGTGATTAGCAGATGTAACTCGAGTCCAACACTGATCAAGCTGTTCTGAGAGTGCCAGTCTATATTAAAATGCAGTGGCTGCATGCTTTTGCAGCAGGAGGAAATTTGAATGTTCTTGTGGAAGACATTATCAGAGTTACCTCCTCTGTCAGTATCTACACCTTTAAACATGAAGCTTTGAGTGATAAATACATGTAACTTTTAATATATGGGAACCTGAGAATATCTGCTTTAGCATTCACATACTCTTTTATTAAATTGGATCCTAGGCAATGCTTTATGTAATTTCAAGGATTAGACTTAGAAATTCATTAGGTTCCAGCTCTGAGAACGAGGCCCTATTTTCATCTCCTATATCAGACTGCGAATTTGGTAAAATATGAAAATATGATTCATTTATTCAAGAACTGTGCGCCGCGGCTTTATGTGGTTCTTAATGAGTAATCTTCCATACTCTGTGGGAATCTTTAATAAGTGCCATTTAATGAATGAAACACGTTGTGTGGCAAATCATTAACTTTGAAGGCACCCCTGATTGCTTTTGAAGGATTACAACACTTTGATTTAAATCGGTTGCGTTAATTTTTTTCTGGAATTATCTTTGTATTTAAGGGATAAACTCTAGATTAGAAAAGTGCCATAAATAAAAATGTTTTCCTCTTTAGTCATTTGAAATGTTTACCTCTATGTTCTTGTAGATGGTATTTAGAGGAGTTTAGGTGAAACCAGACAAATGGCAGTTATTTGATGCCAGCGTTGTCACATCTTTTATCTTTTTTCGATAGAGATCAATCATGACAGCGGGAACAGACAGATGATTCCTCCCCTGGCGGCCAAATTGTCCCCTTGCATGTGCTCACTTTTGTGACAGTGTCTGAACCTTTGCCTCATCATACATCAAACTACTAAACTGTTTGGATTGACAGCACTTTTCAAGCAGAGAACACACACCAATCTCAGCAACAGAGGCAACAGCCAACGTAGACTTTAACTCTGACTTGGAGAATCCTTACAATTGCCTGCTGGATTGATGTAAACCGTCTTTAGCAGTGTGAAATGATATCTTCAGATCAGCCAGACATTCAAGGACTTGAATGTTGCCAAAAGGCTTAACAGGTGAAAAAATTTCAGCACGTCTTACATTTAATAACAGTTTAATAATTGAATGTACTATCATCTGCTTTTGATCGTCAGAGTTAAAATAAAATGTACTGTGTTGTGAAAAAGTAATTGCCTTCACTGATTCATTGTGTTTTGCCTAAATATTTCAAACCAAATCTGATGCTGTTCTGGTGATTCTGGCTAATATCAGACAAAGCTACGCAAACTGATCAGCCCATATGTAAAAAAAAAATAATATACATGCTGACAGTTCTTTCATCTGCAATGGGGAGTTGAATCGTTTTAGTTGCACACCTTTTTACACCACACTTTTCATCCTCTCACCTTTCTGTTATGCTAGGATGCAGAACTTAGTGATTACTTTTTCTGGCTTATCTTTATTGTGGAAGGTGTAAATGGCTGACGCATGAAAGAATATACTGACCACTGTTTCTGAAACAAAACAAAAATAAATATTTATATCTTAAATAATATTCTATTTTTCAAGAGAAATAGAATTGAAAAGTTGAAATAATGCCACTCTATGTAATATGTATGCAAGTTTCACTTTCTTATTTTAATGAGTGGAATATTTTGATGGTAGTCAAATTGATTATAATTCACGTTAAATGTTCCATAAAGGATGGATCCCCCACGTTAAATGTTCCATAAAGGATGGATCCCCCACTGATCATAGAAGAATACTGAGATGAGATCTGAGAAAAGGTTTGCCTCTCTGATCATGTTCTCTCTCTTACTTTCCAGGTGTCATAAGAACAGCTTTGCCCAACATGGACCGGGAGACGAAAGACCAGTATGTGCTGGTCATTCAGGCCAAAGACATGGTGGGCCAAATGGGCGGCCTCTCCGGCACCACCTCTGTCACGGTGACTCTCACTGATGTCAACGACAATCCACCTCGGTTCGCTCACAGTAAGAGACCTTTTTCTGTCTGCCTCCACAGTGCTGATTGAGTTTGTACATGTTCAGCAGCTACTTAGCAATCAGAATAAAACCTCCACATCTTTTTTTTTTTTGTTCAGCGTTTTTGTTCTCTAGGTTGAATACAGCTCTTAAAATGTACTATCAGTGGAAGACCACTTGAAGTAAGAGAGGGGAATAATGGCACTCGATCATCATAGTAAAAATGCTTGGATTTTTTTTCACACAGATTAAAGAAACCGCTTTAAAAATTACTTTTTCTATATTACTTTTTAATAAAGAAAAGCAGCAAGTATTTTTCTTGATTCATTTTTTGTGAATGAAGTTTCACAGAAAATGAAAGTTCATTTTTCAAAATTAATATCTCTTATCACACTTTGCCATGTTACAGTAAATCTTCAGTCTGAGAACAAAGTGCTCTATTAGGTACATGTGGCATAATCAAATCTCTGATGTATAACTTCTAATAAATAAAAACAATGATGGAGCTGATTATTGCGAGAAGGAGAATATTAAATTCTATTTCGGATTTAACAAGGAGTCAATGAAAATAAGCTAAAGTAGGAGAAATATGATCTGTCTTATTAATTTTAATTTTGTAGAATTTAATTTAACAGAAATTAGAGCTACATTTTTTTTTCAAACTTCTCTTCAAGATTTAGACATGTACACTAAAATTTTTGCCAGTTGATTGCAAAAAGAGTCATTAATAGTTAAATTGAATATAGATGCATCTATGGATATCAATTAACTGTATGTCTGTACTTTGGCCTACAGTCATTTTTGCTCATTTATATGTCTTGGTTTTAGCAGATGGCCATCTGGTGGTGTATTTGGAGTCGTACTATCCTTGTACCGATTTCAGATGTGAACTGAATTCTGCTCTGTAAGATCTCCAAAGATTGGGATGTTGTTTTAAGCCATTTGGTGGTCCAACAGTAATGCACTATATACAAAAAGACTTGTCTTACTCTGTGAATTATAATGTAAAATGGTTCCTATGGAATTTATTTAACATTTTAACATTGCAAAAGCTGAGAAAATTAAACAGTAATGAATATCTAATTCATGAATCAGCTGAAAACCTGAAAATCACTCACTAAACTGACAAAAACAACTTTGTACAACTACCTTGCATTTATATTGTCAGGAAGAACTTGAACTTTTCCTAAAAAAAATTGTAAAAAACTGTCTCTCTATAAACTGTGCACCTCCCAGATTCATTCTTCATCAAAGACAGCCATTCCTTTTGCATTGGACACCAAGATCAATCGGGTTTCTTTTTTCTTTTCTTTTTTTTTTCCTTTTTCTTTCATTTTGTCAGCTCTTTGCACAGGCTGCTAATGGCTTCCAGGAAAAGCTTTATGATTCAAAGGCATGCAGTGCTTCTCATGATAATCCCGAAGCACCGGCAATCGGTTTACTGCTGATAGCCCGACCGCTGGTCCGGCTGGAGCGCAGTCACCACTGGACTGCCGTGAAGCTGAGTCAATTTGCCGGTCCCCGGGGTGAAAGAGAGATTCAAGTTTGCGCGACACGTCATCAGTGTCGTTTTAACCCAGCGCTGTCACACTGAGAAGAAAGAGACTTTAGAAGAATTCTGGGGGTTTTTTCTCCTGCTGTTGTGCTCACAGGGTCATGGGTCAGAATCGATATGCCATTACAGTGCTTCAGAGCAGATTGAATCCAGGAGCACTGCTTAGCTGATGATATGTGGGGGAAAGACTCAGGACAGGCAAGAGTAGGAGGTGGGTGCAAGGGTAATAGGATGGGAGAAAAGTATTTTTGGGGGGCTTTTAAAGAGCTGCTATTCCATGGCAAATTAAAAAGCCATTATAAAGATTACATGGTGGCAAACAATGTCAAGCAGATTAGCATTTAGACTGTGGCTGAGGGAGACACTGAGGAACACAGAAAGGTCTGGTAATGAGCTCTGGCTTGGTGATTGGGGAGATTATGATTATGAATATGATTCCCTCCTTTATTCTTGTAGGAGTACTTTAAATTCAGCGGGTCAAACAATAACGTGGAGAACACAATGGAGAGTTTTTGGAGTAATAGAATGCTTGAGTGGACATTTCATCCAATGAATTGTAACAAAGGGATTGAAACATGACTCCTGTTGTTCTTTTCTTCTGGCCTGGACAGCCTTAAAGTAAAGAATTTTTTTTTCATCTGGCTTCATCTATTCTAAAAGTAAAACTTGTGGAATGCTATGAAGTGAAATTAGTCTCGCTGTTCAAATAGGATATTTTTTCTTGCCTTCTTTGCTTCCTCTTTTTACAAAATTCTACCATTCAGTTCAAGGGTTTCTCTTTACCCTCTTTATTATAAAAAAATGCATTCACTCCAGGTAAATTGTATTTTTATTTCTCTCCTCTTCTGTGTGTTCCCAAAAACAGTAAACATATAAACAAATCATCAAGTTATTCAGATCTTAAGGTCATGAAAAGGTCATGAACGTTTGGCTTCTTTCTAATTTCCTGTGGTTACAAGCAGTGCTGCATTGCTAATACTAGTCTCTTTAGAAAAATGTGGAGATTCAAATCCAGCTGTGTACATTTTTTTGTCCAGTGATTCAGTTTTACCGTGGCTTTTTGGATCTGCTACTGTTGTGCAATGCCAACACCTATGAGTACTAAAACTATTTACCTAATCAAGTGGAGACTTAAGTTCATTTGTATTGTTCATTCGTGTAGTTTTTTCAACAATCTATCATATATATGTGATCTATAATTGCCTTTCTTTTGGATCAGTTGTTTTGCTTTTTTCTAACTTTTTCTAACTGTTTGCATTTAAGATTTGTTTTAATTGACATTTGACAGATTATTATTATTATTATTATTGCTCAAAACTCATTTCTTGATAAAAATCAACTGCCCCAAATAATAATTAGTAACAAAAATAATTGTCAATAGAGGATAATTCAACATTTCTAAAATGAAGCTGAAATGCAATAAAATACAAACCGTAAAAAATGACTGTAGAACACAGGACCTGTACTATAGGTATGTGTATTAGAAGGGACAAAATAGCATTGCATAAGTGTCTCAGTTTCCCCTTTCTCTGAGCAATAAACAGACCATAAGCAATTTTCTAAAATTTATCAAAGGATCTAAATGAGACTCCTTTTCTCATAGAGGAAATTTCTTCCTCTATGAGAAGAAATGTTTAATTTTGCCACATTCATCCTTTTAAATGTGAAACATCTTGAACACTGTGAATTAAAGTTGGTCTTGCGATTTTAATAGTATAATTTCCCTTTTCCTCTTCCTTGCTGACTTCACCACAAATTGGAGTGAAAGCTGAGATTTCTGTGTCACTGCCCCTGCTTGTTAGTTTAACGCAAATGTGCTGGTTGCAAAAAATAAGCACATCCATTACAAACAACCACTCCTGTCCTTCCCTTTGCAGAAAGCTATCAGTACACAGTGCTGGAGTCGCTACCAGTGCAATCTGTGGTGGCCAGAATAAAAGCGTCAGATGCTGATATCGGCTCCAACGCGGAAATGGACTACAGGATCATGGACGGTGACGGACCTGGCATGTTCAATATAACAACAGACGAGGACACACAAGAGGGGGTTATTATCCTGCAAAAGGTAGAATTTGGAAATAGACATATTTTCACAAAAGAAAAAACTGTCAGTTTTACTCATCGTGGCCATAGCAGATACATAGCTTTTACAAGGTTCTTTTTTTTAGACAAGTCTTTACATATCCTATGTTTTTGTGGAAAAAAAATATATATATACATTTTTGTGGATTGGACTTGTCAGTATGTGACTCTCAAAGTATAATATTAAATACAAATATCACATTTTTGTGAGATGGGGGTTACACAAAAGTTGTAAAACTATGTTTTAAGCATGAATTGTACACGTTTAAAATATGCAACCAACATTTTTATTAAAAATAACAAAAGAAAGAAAGAAAGAAAGAAAGAAAGAAAGAAAGAAAGAAAGAAAGAAAGAAAGAAAGAAAGAAAGAAAGAAAAAGTTATGACAAATGCCAATACTTTTTGAAAATATTTTTTGAACTAGAAAGACAATGGTGCATTTTTATAAAAGTTTGTGTGTGCATGCCTCATTAATTAAAATAAACAGCAGTTTAGAAAAAAAAGTACAATAGTTAAACATGGTGGTGGACATATGATGGTCTGGGTCATTCAATTGTCCAGGTCTTTCTGTCTGTCTGACACGAAGCTGTGAAAAAACATATACAACCTTTATCTTGAAATAAATTATATCAAATAAGTAATGCTTTATTAATTGAAAGTTAGTTCTTGCATTTGAACTTAATAGATTGCAATAAGAAAAAAAAAACAATGACATTTTGGTATGCTAAAAGGTGATAATTATTGGGCTTCTTTAATTGAAATGGTCTAAAAAAAATAAGAAAACCTACACTGAAAACATTTGGAGTGCTCATGATGTTTTTTATATCATCCAGGAAAAATTAATTTCTTTTTTGTTTGTTTGCATGTTTGTGTTTTCCAATATTCCAACTACTTAATGATGCCATGTATTGTCAGGTCATTCAAGTATATTGTGAGTAAACACAAACCAACCAGTGTTATCCAGGAAATAAATATTAAATCATAAAGAGACCAAAAAACTATTTGAATCAGAGCAGGAAAAGTCACTGCTGTGTTGTGAATTGCCTTCACTAATTCAGATCAGTTCAGTTCACTTTACTTTGGCAAACTGTCAACACTAAACATAGGAAACAAAAAATAACAGTAAATAAACCCACAATTAACCAAAAAAGAAATAGGCTGAAGACAAAGTTTATGCTAGCCTGACCTGGTCATGTACTGTTCACATAGATATACAAACAAAGATGCATCACTGTACATGTGCATACATCTATATTTTTACAAACATGATTACACAATACATGGATACATGTAAAATATTTTATCATTTTACATTTTAGGGCTCTAAATCAATTACTCTGTTGTAATTTTTCTACATTCATTTTATTTGTTCTTATTTTGATAAATAAAGATGAACAACAATCATGCTCAGTCTATTATTGTTAGATTTCCAGTCATAGATCACTGTAGTAAGATTATTTATTTAGAATTAATGTTGTTTTTTTTTTTCCTGTATCAGTTTATTCATATATAAATAGTACAGTACATCATAACTTCTGGTCGATGGATCAGATTTTCAGGTTTCAGTCTTGAAATTTTCTCTTCAGGCCTCTTGAATGTGACAGCTCATTGCTGCCTCTCCTTGGTCAGAGTGGTAGAACCATTGATGCCCACAAGCAGTTCTTGTCAGACTGGCCAATTTGATCCTTTGTTTGTTTCATTCCAAAGCTCAGACAAATACAAGGCAGAAGTGAGTCTCTCACAATGAAACTGTCAAATCAGTGTGTTCAGTATATTACATTTTGCACAGAGAGTTTAAAAAGCCAGACAAAATGTTTCTAAAGCATTTATCTTTGTACACTTTCATCCACCCTGTGTGCCTTTCTTTATAATCACCGTTGGTTCATGTATGGGACAAAGTCGCTACAATTTATCATCAAATCACTTTGTCTGACAGTGTGTTAAATTTTAGGGGTGTTGGAGACCACAACCTAAATTGTGATCAATATCACCAGATTGGGTAAATGAATATAAACTTATCTGCACACATGCTGTTCATTTATCCTTGACAGAAAATGGTGATATTTCATGTTTGTGCAGCTAAGGACGGTGTTAAAAAAACATCTTGAGGCACTTTCTTGTTTGACAAATAACCAAATTAAAGCTGCCACAGGTCGCTTTGGTAAAAATGTTTTTACATATTTGCTAAAACTGTCACCATGTCATGCTGGTAGAATATGTGACAAACAAAAAAACAGAAAAAAAAGCTTCTCTGGCATCTTCTCGTGGTCCTACTGCCATCTGCAGAAGTGCATTCCTCCCACATATAGCAAGAAGGAATGCCTTAGCACTGTCAATTGTTCTCATGTACCTAAAGCTCGCACTCTTATCTGCTTATGTCAGGACATAGTGACAGTTTCAACAAGTATAAAACACATTTTTTATAAAGCTACTGCAGCCTTAATACATTCAAGAACATTTGTGATCTTTGTATTGGTTGCTTCCAGGTCTCAATGAGTCCTTGAAAAGAAAACAAAATGGAAAAATATAAAAAATATCCAGGATTTAATCAGTAAAAAAATAGGTCGTTATCCATCTTTCCAGGAGTCATTCTCTTTTTTATGACATCTTTCATCCAGTTAGTGAATGTTGCAGATTTAATGTTTAATGCCTTAACATTTTGTGTTCCATACATTTGACATCTCTTATGTATTTATTTATGCAAAACCTGCCAAAAATGAGGAAAGACATGGAATTTTTACAAAAAAGCTGTGCGGAAACTTTATTGTAACCCATTTTCTGTTATTTTTTTATTCCTTTTTTCCCCCGCAGCCTCTAGATTTTGAGACAAGAAGTGGCTTCGCTCTAAGAATCGAGGCCACAAACAGGAACATTGACTCCAATTTCTTGAGCCTCGGCCCATTTAGCGACATAACTTCAGTGAAGGTTGCCGTGGCAGATGTGGACGAGCCGCCCGTCTTTTCTAAACCGCTTTCCAATCTGAATGTTTCCGAGGACGCCAAAGTGGGCACCTCAATCGGTAGAGTCTCTGCCCACGATCCAGATAACTCCAACAGTGGCATCAGGTACAAACAATGTGCTTCTCCGCAGAGTCACACGATAATAGGCTAGAAATCTGATTGGAAACAAAAACCTCCAGACACTTCTCTTCCTTTCAACTTTAAGTTATGCAATTAGTTTACAGAGTTTTGCGTAGAGGACAAAAAAAAAAAAAAAAAAAAAAGTAAACAGTACCCCAAATATGCAAACAAATTGCTTCTCAACATTATCTACAAACACAGACTCCACAGAGTCTTGAAAGTCCCCAATCTGGCTGTCACAAAGACAGCAGCAGATGGTGGGCGGGCCAAGGAGTGCTGCATTTGCAAATATAAAATGCCATCTTGAACAAGAGAAGGGCATTCCTGCAGGAGGGTCAAGGCCCTACACTTGCGCAGTGGCATTTACGACTCAAAACAAGCACTCACATTGTCAATCTTTGCAGTGTCACTCTCGAGATGCCCCTAACCCCACCAACCCCTTCTGCTCTAATTGAATGAATATTGTATGGCATTCATGCTTGGTCTGTTAGGATTGTTAGTAATCTTAATCAGAAAATCTAATTACTGCTCCATTGTAGCTGTAAATTGCCTTTTTTTTGCCCCCGTGACTGTTATCAGAATCAGCAATATATTTCTCTACATCTGTTGAAATTAAAATTACTGTGGAACTAATGCTGCCACAAGAGTCAAATTACACTGCAATAATATCCCTTGGATGTATGCTAATTGAAGCTGTAATTTTCTTTTGAAAAATACGCTCACAAGTATTGAAAGGACTCGATAAGTGTTGTGTGTTGAGGGACCGTCTTCACTTTTATCAAAATTTAATAGGTCTTTGTGTCATCCTATAAGTTCTAAAAAAAGGTGACATTATCTGTGACATTTACAGAGCAATTTGGAAAAAAAAAAGTATTTCATGAAGTTTAAAATCAATATAAGGTGGTAAGTATGGAGCTTATTATTTTAATTTCGTACAAACTGATGAAAAAGGACAGAATAATGTTTTCCTTCAGGCAAAAGAAACTACTATACTTTAATGTCAAATCAATACAAGTTAATCGTGTTTTTAGCAATATGTCATGTGTAATATTGATGAGTTTCTGTGCCTAGGTACTCCATTGACAGGAACACAGACTTGGAGCGTTTTTTCAACATTGATGCTTTGAGTGGCATCATCAGCACAGCCAAGTCTCTGGACCGAGAAGCCAACTCCATCCACAATCTCACCATTTTAGCCATCGAGAGCTGTGAGTCGATAGCAAGATACAGACAAATACAGTACATTTGTTCAAATTCCCCATTGTTAGTCAAATCATTAAGTAACTGTTATAAGTGATAGTAGTTTTCAAGTAATTGTGCTTGAAGACATTGCTGAATCTGTGGGAGGTGTCACGCCCCACCGGTAGGCAATGACAAAAATTGGGGGACAGACGAGCGAGAATATGAAGAACAATCATTTAATCTGTTCCAAATATGATTCAGAAAACTACACAGCCAGTCTGAGAGAAGCGTGGACCGATGCTGCTCGCTCCGGTCTGGTCCGGAGGCCAATCAAGCAGGCCGGTAACTGACTGAATGTCAGTATTTAACAGCCTCCTGGTGCGTTCAATTAGCAGCTAATCCTCTGCTTCCTGAAAAGAACAAGAGAACAAACAAACCGTAGACTGGAGACATCTGCTGGACAGGAGGGGATCGTCACAGAGGGCCTTTCCAGAAAGGGACTGGAAAAAAAAAAGATGCAGAATTACATTCAATTTTTATTTATTGTAAAGATTGGTTATCAATATGGTTGAAGTATAGGTTTATAATTCACAAATAAAAATCACAGAACACATGAATGAACACGCACGTTTTAGAAATAGATCGATGTATTTTAAAACAGTATGGAAAATGTACCTGTATATATGACTTTTTTAACATAAAAAATAAATGTAAGACTTTTTAAGACATTGAAAAACCATTTAATACAATGGCTGCTACAAAGACAGTTTTGATTGTAGTTATAAAACAATACAGACACAGTCATGTTACTGTTTCAATGGTAAAAAAGTTTTCGATCCAAGGACAATGTGTCTCATTGTGGGTGACATGGGATTTGAGAAGATAGAGCAGATACACAAAAAAAACAAAGAAGCACTGTAGTTTGTGCAGTTTCCATGTAAAGAAACAATAAAGTCAGTTGAAGCAGTATATCCTTCAGAAGCTGCAGAACAGGAGGAGAAACACAGCTAAACAAAGAAGCTCTGAACTAGTAGTAAAATCAATGATATGAAGAACAGAGTGCACACAGTCACAGCAATTGCTTCTTCTGTTGGTTTGTGTTGTAGACAGAGAACATCATTGCTCTCTCTGGCAGACTTTAGTCTGACCTTTAAGAGCGAGAGAAGTTTCCTTAACACACGCCTTATATCAAAGTTAAAATTGTGCAGTGTCTTTCTCATGGTGGAGGGATTCACCTTCATGGCAACAGTGAACCAAGTAGGTCATGTGATTTGAAGACTTCTTTTCGTGCAACATAGTCTGCTTTCAGGTTAAATTTACCTAGAAAGTCTTATTGAATGTTTTTTTTTTAATAGACCGTTTTACATATGATGAAATAGCTGATTTCAAGATCTTTAGAGAACTCTATCAGACTGACAAGCTGCAACAAGTTTTCTTTTTTTCCTCAACCCCTCAAACAGCTGTTTCATTCTCAGCACAGTTCAACAGTCAAGATCACAGCAAGCTGAATGTGTGGGATTTGAAAAGGCCAAACAAAATGCTGAGTAACCACGGTCTCATTGTGTGCAGTACATACATATGAGATACACCTGCGTGTGGTTGAAGCCATTTTAAGTGGATATACATGGAGATATCCAAATTCATTCTACTTCAGAAAAAAATACCCTTTTTTAAATTTTAAATATCATATTGGAAGGTACTATCTAGACTTTTTTCTTGACAATTTTTAATTGTCAAGAAATGTGTAAGAAAACCACAGGTTGCTGTAGAGTGTCCTATTCTTCTCACATAACTGTATTTTTTTTTTTTAAATATCAAAATATTGGCTTTAGGGTATCTTTAATGCTAAAAGAAAAATGGGAGCAGTGACTTGCCCTATCTTTTTTTTTTTCATATTTTTGTAGCTCTCTTGAAGAGAGTCTCTTCAAACGTGACTGTCAATTTATTACACCATGTACTTACTTAAGATTCTGCCCATTTTCTCTTTCTACAAAAATGCCCCCCAGGGTTTAGAAAAGTGTCATTTAGCCTGTCAGTAAAAAAATTGTCGCTCCTCTCAGACTTCCTAATACCCATTAGTCTGCAGTACAGAGGAAATTACAGCACATAGTCACGGGGTTGATGCACGGCTGTCAGGGAATGTTAATTTACACGCAGGACGGTCACTCTGACCTCCATGTCTCCCTGAGCCGTGGGGACGAGATGCTGACTAAGGGCAGACCGTCTCACCCACGGGTGAACAATGTTAATGTGATGTGAAGAAGTGCCGCATGCCTTTTTTTGTTCATCTGTCAATGCTACAAGGACGTGAACACCTTTTTTTTTCCCCTCTTTGCTTTGCAGTCCCATCATTTTACTGACATTACGCTAACACAGTGGCCAACTATCATCAGCACACAACACACTGAGCACTTCAGACAGCTGCGTCACACCAGTATAAGTTAAGGAAGACTAGCAGCCTGTCAGCATTGCACTTCTTCTGTTTTCCTATCTTAAAAGTGACTGTTGTATCGACTGTTCAGTTTATTTTATTTATTTATTTTTATTTTCCAAACCCTTTATGCTTCTCCACTTCAAAGCTGTTTATATTCACGTCTCATGGCACACAGATGTACTTCTTGGTTGATTTCAGAAGTGTCGCCTGATATAGCACAAGAGAGAAGGCAGGATATAATAATAGCCACATCAAATGTCACAACAGTCCCTCATGCGTGAGGTACTGACTTCTGACACACAGTGATACTCAGGCACTGTTTTCAGCTAAAAAAACATCTTTGATTTGAAGGATTGCTGCTGATATTCCCTGCCCTCTGCTGCCTGCTGACATTATTAATAGTAAATGTGTTCTATGTAGCTAAAATAAGAGAGCAAGTATGCTTCAGTGGAGGCTTGCTGGGCATCTGAGCCGGAGTCACTCACATTTCATCCGCCCTCCGCTCCGTCCAGTCCACGCCAATGACAACAAGTCTGTGGCCCGAGGCTCTGCGCGCCCTTTTTATCACCATCAAATAAGTCGCCCCGAATGTCAGACCATCATCTCTGGCCGGCATCATGGCGACGCCACACTAAATCATCGTCTCGCACTCAGACACAGCCATTTAGCCATCAGTGTGTGTCAAGCAGACAGAGCCGTGAAACCCGCTGTGGAAGATGGTTCACGCACATAGCTTTCCCCTACAACAAGCCTTTACTGAGGCTAATCGCTCACGCTGATCGACAGCACACAGGTTAACAATGGCGTCTCTTTGAAGTAGCTTGAAACTTATAGTACGGTACTGTAAAAATGTGTGCGTTCACAGATTTCTTCAGATTTATTTCTTTTTAAGTGTTCACAAGATTTGTAGAAGTACAAAAGAGGCAGACTTTGGAAGAAATCAACTCTTCTTTACAGGATAATTTGAAATCGCCCATAAAGAAGTAGTGTTTTTGAGATTAAAGTAATTCTTTGGTAACTAAATCTTATTTATATGTAGAAGTTAAGACCCTTTCAAAAACTTGGATTTGTTTAAATTGCATTACAATTACTGCCACTATATAGCAGTTTTTCATACTTCTGCTACATTACTGCCTCAGCTTTACCTGATGTTCTATTGTTCCTGAATAGCAATATGACAGGAAACAAATCAAAACAAAAATGTGTTTAATTTAGTGAATGTTTATTGCAATTAAGCATGAAGCATCAGAAAGGAACAAAAAATACTCCGTAATACAACAAGAGTGTCAGTAAAAGCAGAATTAAAAACTAATTTTGCAGAAATATGTGAACCTGGACTCTTTCCTTTTTCTTTGTATTTTTTCCCCAGTGGATCCAAACCAGATTGGGAAGGGCATCACTCTGATCACGGTGTTGGACGTAAATGATAATGCCCCAGTCTTTGCAATAGACTACGAAACGCTCCTGTGTGAAAACTCAATGCCAGGGCAGGTAAGACCCAGAGACATCTCTGTTGTCGGTCTGGCATCCTTTCTTCTTTTCTTTCCCACTCTCTCTGTAAACTCCATTGAAGTTTGACACACAAAGACAGCCTGCTGAGCCTCACAGCCATTAAAACTCTCTCCTCCCTCTAAACAACTGCATTGTGCTCAAACTGTATCTGTTTTGCAGCTCAGGGTTACGCCAGGTGGACAGCATCATTAGTAGGAGACACAACCTCAACATTTAATAGGAATTGTAGGAGTTGCTGTCCATTGGAGAACTTTCTCTCATTCACTTTCTTGCCACTGTTCTAGAGTTATCCTGTGGTCTTTTTGCACACTAGAATGTGATTTTATGGAAGGCTGAAGTGGTGTTTTATAATAGTTTGATAATAAGCCTGTCGTGAACAAAAGCAGGAAGTTTATCTTAGTATTATGCTATGATATTCAATGCAATTTTTGCTTCTAAAAAAGACAAAGGGGGAAGTAAACTGTGTCCATGCATTGCATTTTTCCCCTCCACATTTGGCCCCATTGTTGCTGAATGACTTGTGTATTTGTGGCGGTCATTTTTCAGCTCTTGGCATTTGGAAAATACAATAGAGGCAAAGGCTAAAGAAAGCGTGTATGCCTGAATACGTACAATTGATCAGAATGATGCATTTTTATTAGAAATGGCTATTAGGCCATTTTAAATGTGCTATTTGCATTCATATGTTGTACTTCTTTTATCATTGGGCTCATGGTGGTTGTGCAAAAAAAAGTAAATGAGTTTATTTGGAAAAATGAAAGACAATATTTCATTCTGAATGTGTCTTCTTTCGTTGTTCTGGGGGCATAACTTCTGACCTTTGTATTGTTTTACTTTAAAGAGGTGACACAGCCTTGCAGGCTCCAAGTGTTCATGGATTTTATGTTTCAATGAAAATGACAGTGTGAATCTTAAAATAGAAAATAATTAAAGCTCCGATTGGTGGACATTTTGTCAGGTTACAATGACAATATTGTTGGAATTTTGTGCAAAATACAAACAGATAATTGTGAAGTGGAAAGGAAATTATTGTTTTATTTATTTTACAAATAATATTCTGGAATACTTGGTGGCTAAATATATTTAGTTCCCTTTATTCAGATACCCTTAAATGAATCCATACAAACAATTTATCTTAAAAAAATCACCTAATTAATTAATATATAGATTTATATCAGAGCTTAGTCATAATATGTGCAGAACACTGACTTTTACCAAAAAAACAATTAAATGTCTACATTCCATCAGAATCTCAACTTTTGAAATTTAGTGGATACTTGACGCAATTCTTTCATGTTCACCACAAAAATTACAGCAGAGAAACTTAACCAAAGTGATATGTCAACAATCGTATCAGTCTCCAGGACATAGGGACTGCCATTGCAGATGATAGCATCATCAGGAGGAAAACGGTATAGCAGATCTATAATTGCTCAGCTCAAGCCGACAGATTGCTTACCTAACCCCAATGATAGCTGAGCTGCCATCTCCCCTTGGTGTAGCCACCGGCTCCTCTGTAAAGCGAGAAGCTTCGGCCTCTGTGTTTGTCCACCCTGTTCATTCAAATTCTGCCAAGATATGTCCAAAATAATTCTGCACAAGAACTGCTATAGTTTGGAGCTGCAATATATTTTAGTAAACATATATCCAACAAATAAAATAGTGTTTACGTGAAACCGCAAATGATTTTTTATGCTGGATCTAAAAAATGCATAGATCTGAAAAGCCTGAAAGTCATAAGAAATTACAAAATTCTCCTGTTTTCTTGAAAGAAATGTTTCAAGTATTCTAATATGCAAGAATATCTGGACTAGATTGGGAATATGTCTATACAAAAGTCATGGTTCTGTGAGCAATTTCTAAATTAATTGGATTTTATTATGCTCCAAAAGTTAAAAAAAAATTAAAAAAGACTGAAAGAAAGACAAAAAAAGACAAATGGAAAGTGTAGAACTGACTGGAGAATTGGTTAGATTTTCTTTTTGTCAATAAATAAATTAGTATAAGCAGGCATAGCCAATCCCTGGATAGATAGAATACACAATATAACTCCTTTTTTATTTAATGACTGTGCTCATGTTTGAAAACAACTTCACGACTTCACTTTAACAACCATGCAGAGTAACAACCTTTTCAAATCAGTTGTAACAAGGTCAGAATACTAATCTACACCACTGAAATTGGGTCTGAATTATCAGATGCATGCTGCAAAAGTTATTTCAAGATTATTTAATAAACATGGTGAAATCACGTCTAAGAAAATCAACTGTAAAACAGACAATAATGTTTAACTGTGCAAATAGGAGCCTCTCCTAACAAAATCATTTCATAGAGAGTTCGTTGTATTGGGACTTAACAGCTGTGTAGCCTGAAGAAAACCATTTATCAGTGGAGTAGAAGAAGAAAAGGTGGCTTCAAAATGGCTATGGAGCGTAAAGATTGAACTTTGGAGCAGTGGAAAAAGGTCATGTGGTCTGATGAATCCAGATTTGTTCTGTTCCAGAGCAATGCCTTCTTATGGTAGGAAGGGCAGTGGATGAGCTGATATATCCGTCTTGCCTAGCGTCTGCTATGCAAGTCTCTGGGGCAGTTTTATGATTTTAAGTTGCTTTTAGTGCACCGGGTCAGAAGACAATGTGAATTTACCAAATCGCCACATCCTAGGTGATGCATTTTCTTCTTTTCTGAAAAAAAAGTCCAAAAATAAAGGATTTAGAAAAGGAAGTCTACAAATTAATTTGAATAATTGGGATGTGCTCATACCTGAGTTTCCCTCCGACAGTAGATCTGAGCAAAAAAAGTACCCGTCTGAATTAAATCATCAACATCAATTTAGAGTGAATGTAATTAAATTAAATAAATTCATCCTGTAAATTAAGTCAAGTGGCTATTTCAGTTCTAATATTTAAAATTGAACAATTTAGAAAAAAAATCTTTTTTTTATATATTTAGTATACATTTACTGTTTTTTCCTAAGTTTTTAAACAACAATTCAGGTTAAAAGTTCCCATTTTACATACTAAATATATTGGATTACTATTGCAAAATTAATTTATTTCAGCAACTCATTTAACCAAATAAAAGATGTTATGCAAATTAATTAACCAAGCTTATTTTGGCTAATTATAACGATTTTCCACCCACAGTTAATGAAAACATGACATTCTGATTGTGAGGATAAATATATTACATTAGACCAATAAAAGACAATTGTAAAATAGAAATGCAAGCGTAATTATAAGTATGATATAAACATGCTAAAAGGTTGTCATTTTTAAATCTGATAAATGGGCCTAATAACACCAATTCTAAATTATTGGTTATGACACTCATAAAGCAGTTCAGCTCAATTTCTTGTTAGGGCAAACAGTACATCATCCAATCACATGGGATGAGATTTAAAGGACCTTTTAACACGGTATGGTTTTTGCTGCAGGCAGGCTAGTTTGATTATTTCAGACCTGCTGAGATCTACTGGAGTCTCCACATGTAGGTGAAAATATAGAGTGACCAGAAGTTGAAAATATTTTGTTGTCAGGGGTCAGGAGAGAAAGACTTGCTTGAAATGATAGACATTTGACAGTAGACCAAAAAAGTTTGTTTAAAAGTACTGGATCTTGTGTGCGCTTTGGTTGGATGAGATTAAACTTGATATTTTTAATTAAAAAAATCAGGAGGGAGCAGCATAAAGCACAGACTGAAATTATATAAACATGTACATCATAGCCACTGACAGGCATGGTGGAGGATCTGTAATACTATGGGCTTATTTTAATAAAAAAGGTACCACTGAATAAATGTCATGAAGTTAATGTTTATTTTTTTCTTTTTAATTCAGCGTAAGATTTTACTTTTGAGCAACTTCTTAGCAGATTTTCACACATCCTTACCGAGTTGCCTATAAGTGTGGAGGGTGGTGCTGTTTTAGTTGTAAAGCAACTTTTTTAACCTTTTGTTGTTAAGACGAATCACAACCTCAGACAAGAAGGGCTTGTTTTGGTTTTCATTTCTCACTTTTAACAATTTCTATTCAGTCCCATTCAAACACAATGTTCTGGTGGGCAACACCGCAGGGGACCGGTGGGATCCCACCTTCTGACTGCATAATGAAGCCAGGGAGGATGGAAATTTCATGATGAAATTTACACCCAAAAACACATACAGAGCAAAGAGAAGTAGAAGGGTTGACATTTGAATGTGAAAACACAGTTTGAATTACAACGAGGTGTCTGCTGCCTGTTACCAAACAGACGGGGTGGACTCATTACCTGTCTGATATGCGCTCCACCAGCTCCGTGATTCCTAATTAATGAAAATGCTCCCGTTGTGTACTGTATGTGTGGATGTCGATGTGAACATGTTGGATGCACTAAATGGGCTTGCTAACCTGTAAAAGTTTTGTCAAGAAAAAAACCAACAACAACAAAAAAAAAAACAACAACTAATAAATAAATATCGCAAGCTGCCCACGGGTTGTCACGCCCATTGGGTGATTTAGTGCCACAGCAAAGATGAAATAATAACATTTGCCAGTTAGGGCCAGAGTTGACTCTGCGGCTCTGTTGCTCAGATTAACAGGCAGTTCTGCTGTGGAATAACCTGCCATTTTTCAGGCCTAATTAAGGTAGTCTCATGGCACTGGTTCTCTCCAGAGATGCCACTTGTTACAGTTCATTGGTGCGTCTGTCTTCTGCCATAATATAAATTGATATCATGATGGGGGTGGAAGGGGCCGAGGCACTGTGGATTGCGATGGGGACAACGGGGAGGAGGGGTGGATTCACATTGTACAATCACTTCATTGTAGTCATTACACACATGAGTGGATCTGGGATTCTGCTGTCCCCAGTCTGCTTGCAGCTTCCCAAAGGGAGGTTAGTCAAAAATTATGTGAAGAGCGTTCTATATATAGGCATGTGTTTAGTGTTGTCCCTTAGCAAGACTGCACAAAGTTACTATTTGATATTTGAATTACCTTT